ATGTAGGATTCTATCTATTTACCTATCTATATGGGTTGGAATGGATGGCCTTTGCGTTGGACTGGACTGGCTCCTTCCAACATATGAATGCATGCCTCTTTCATGGGTTAATAATAGTCACAAAGACATATGCGCACGTATGTACACACAGGCTCATTTCTTCCAAAAACAGAGCCCTTTATAATTATCGATGGACCAATTTGGCATGGGTTATTCCCACATTCAAGACCCAGCCGAACAGAGAAGGCTGGCGTTTGTCTTCAATTTCCATGACAAATGCGGAAAGACGAAGCCTTTTTGCTGAAATCTGGAGCTTAAAGAGTCGGGAAGGAAGAGCACCACACCTCAAATCCCCCAAGTCTTCCACAAAGGAAACAAAGGCAAAGATATGGGACAAAAATGGATCCAGAGGAGGAAGAGGCAACCTGCCTCAGGTGCACCATGAGTTCGATAGTCCTTACCCACAACAGGTCACAGTTAACCTTTAACGTCTCTTTTAAAAGTTTATGGCTTCAATTGTGCGTGATCTGATGTTGTCACCTTTTCCTTTATGAGACCATAAAGAAGCAGTTTCATCCCAAAGTGTAGGACACTCATGTTCAAAGTAAGCAAATAAAAGCGACAACCACCAGCAACAGGCTGGATCCAGTTCCTTCCATTTGCATCAGTCTCCTTCTGATTTCAATGGGGAAGGTAGGTCGGTTTCGATGGAGCCTAACTGAAACTAACCATCCTTCCAGAAGCTGGCCATTGTCTCCAATTCAATATATGACCAATGAAGCAAGGCTTCAGTGCCTCCACTTCTATGTTTGACCACTGCAGAAAGACTTCTCTATGCACCATCATCCCAATGTCTCCAATTCCATATATGACCATTGCGACAAGACTGCCTTATGTACCACCATCTCAATGTCTCTGATTCAATATATAATCATTGTGGCAAGACATCCATAAGCACCACAACCCGAATGTCTCTGATTCAATATATAACCATTGTGGCAAGACTGCACCACCATCTCAATGTCTCCAATTCAATATATGACATCTGCAACAAGACTTCTGTATGCACCACCATCCCAATGTCTCCAATTCAATATATGACCATTGCAGCAAGACGGCCTTATGTACCACCATCCCAATGTATCTGATTCAATATACGATCATTGTGGCAAGACTTCCATAAGCCCCACAATCGGAATGTCTCTGGTTCAATATATAACCATTGTGGCAAGACTGCACCACCCTCCCAATGTCTCCAATTCAACATATGACCTCTGTAGCAAGACTTCTGTATGTACCACCATCCCAATGTCTCCAATTCCATATATAACAATTGCAACAAGACTGCCTTATGTACCACCATCTCAATGTCTCTGATTCAATATATGACCACTGTGGTAAGACTTCTGTATGCACCACAATCCCAATGTCTCCAATTCAATATATAACCATTGTGGCAAGACTGCACCACCATCTCAATGTCTCCAATTCAATATATGACATCTGCAACAAGACTTCTGTATGTACCACCATCCCAATGTCTCCAATTCAATACATGACCATTGCAGCAAGACGGCCTTATGTACCACCATCCCAATGTATCTGATTCAATATATGATCATTGTGGCAAGACTTCCATAAGCACCACAATCGGAATGTCTCTGATTCAATATATAACAATTGTGGCAAGACTGCACCACCCTCCCAATGTCTCCAATTCAACATATGACCTCTGTAGCAAGACTTCTGTATGTACCACCATCCCAATGTCTCC